ATTACAAATAAAAAGGAATCTTTCTGTCTCACAAATAAAATTTTTTTCTCAGTAATATGTTACTTTTCTGCTCCCCCAAAGGAGTAATCTCTTTAAAGCAAGGGACCATGCCCTTTCCTTGTAATTCAACATGGTCCATGTGCGCTTGTGTGTCTGGTGAGGGATGACAACCAACATAATACTCTGCAAAGAGAGGGCTTTTTAGTTGTTTTGTGAGTCTCAGGACAACAACAAAACCTTAGAAATATTGATATTGTGTATAGGTAGGAATATGTTGGCCATTAGAGGAAATTAAATTCTTACCTTATTGTACTTTGGACAGAGTGTCTTTAGAAAAGTGGGATTTCATGGACTTAGAACAAAGAAAACATAAAGTTTTTTATTTTTAAGACCAAAATCGAATGAATATAAACACACTAATTTAGTCAGACCTTTTGAAGACTCTCTAATTCTTTCCATAACATGCAAAGAGGGGGAAAAAGGAGATTCCTATCATGTTATTCTTTTTTCTCCTTTCTCTTCCAAACATTCCTGGCCCTACTTCCTACTCCCCGACCCCCACATACATATGCATACAAACATAGAGGAGATGTGTTAAAGCTGGCAGATAGAAAATTCAACAAATTCACAATTGTATGATTTATGGCTCAAAAATCTATTTTTCTTTAACAATTTTCTACTTAAGAAGCCAGTTCAAGTAGGTCAGCTTCTTTTCAAATGTACCTTGGATGGTAATATTGTATATCTTCATTCCATTCCTTGGAACTAAATTTTTCTTTGATTTTATTGACGCTGCTCGATTGGAATGTGTATCGCTTGAGCCCCCATGGAGAACATAGCAGGTGTGAGTAAAGCAAAACATCTTTTGTTAATAGAAGTACACCCTGGGAGTTCATAGAGATGCTGTAATTTCATTTGCTTTTATGAAAATTCTGTAAATTCCCATGTTGTGAATTTCCAACAGAGCGTGGGGGCCCAACAGCCTCTAATGCAAGCCAAAGATATGCCATTTCTTTAACTGAAAAAATGTCTGCTTGCTTTCTTCTAAAAAATAAATTCAGGGACTTAACTAGAACATTTAAACTGTAGAAAATCAAATTGAGCTTGACTACAGAAACTTTGATCAGCCTACAGAAAGATGACTTTAGGTTTCCTGGGTGACTTCAGAGGCATGGTGGAGCCTCATCCCATCTACATTTGGACCCAGAATGACTTCTCATCCTCATTGCCTATTTCCAGACCACGTCTATGCATATTTATATTTAGAAACCAAGGAAACAGGACCAGGTCCCCCAAACTTCTGTATCTAGGCCTCTTGGATCAACTGCCATAGAGAATCTAGGGGTGAGGCCAAGCCCAGCTTTCTTCCTGGTTTGGAGCCAGATGCATACGGTATTACACTCTCCTGAGCTGGAAGGAAAGACGTCAGCTTGGTATATTACAAAATTGCATGTGTCATTAGAAAAAGATGTCAGAATGCTTTATTTAAAACTTTGTTTTCTCAGGTTGTATTGCCCAAGTGTATCTTGGCATAGACAGCTTTAGCTTCAAAAATTCCAAGATGTATAAAGAGTTTCACATAGCTAAAGCTATTATATTTGGTTATATGCCACTAACACCTTTCTCCCCCTTCATTCTTGCAGAGGAGTGAAAGGATGACTGAATTTCTATTAAAAAAAATTGTTCTCTTCTCCTTGTGACCATGGGGTCTATTTTTGACAGGATCATTTATCTATTCCAAAAAGAAAAATGTAAAGTTCATGGTGTGGGACCTTCGGGGATTTCTTGGATAAGGCCTTCAGAGTCGAAGCTTTCACCATCCCAGGACAACTTCCAGGAGAATTATCTAGCAGTCTGCCCTGGTAAACTTGCCAAATTGCTCGTACTTGGCTAGAAAGAAGGGTGTGTGAAGGCCTGCTTTCCCTCCACAGAGCAATAGAAGATCACTTGACAGGCGCTAAGCACACTTATGTGATGTCTCAGGGAGTTGTCAGGCTGAGGACAAAGCCTTGTAAAGTACCTGTTTCAACCGACAGCTAGACAGCCTCATGTCCACTTAGTCATGCTGAAACAAAGGTCATATATATAGAGAAGAACAGATGTGACTTTTTTTTTATACATATGCCTCATGGTTTCCTGCGCTACTTGGCTACTGAGTAGAGATGTAACAAAGGCTTTGATTATTTTCTCCCAAATTCTCTGTTAAACTTATGGGACATGGCTATTCTTAAGTGTAAAGTTCCTATAAGCTTGAGGACACTCTTGTACAATCCATAAACTTCTCTGGAAACACAGTACTCATGGGCAGGGACCAAGTATAGTCCCAGGAAGTTCCCAACCCTTGCTGATTACCTCAACACATGGATGCTGAGCCCATCTGGACTGAGTGTAGTCACGTCTGCCCCCCGACCCTCGTTTTATTTCCAAATTACATTACTTCAGCCTTTCAAAATTACCACAAGCAATGTTGGTTTTGGTCCCCTTGGCTACAGTGGTTACAGTGCTAGAAACTAGCAAGCAGGAGTCAAAAGAGTGATGTTCAACAATCACATAAGAGAAACAGACATGCCTTGCTGCTCTCATCAGTGGGTAAGATCCTGCCACCAATAATGATTCAAAATGAGTTGTGATTTAACTATGCCAGTAAAAAGTAAATAAATGAATATGCCAGGAAAATGGTATAATCCCTAGGAGAAAAAAAAAAAATATGCTAGTTGGTGGTGCTGGAAAGAGCAGGTTCACCAGTGCCTGGCTGACAATTCCCCAAAACCACCTGCTCACCTTCTGCACAGTGGGAGCTAAATTCAAGCACATGATGGAAAAGAAGGAGTGTGTTAGAAGTTAGGAGACCTAAGTTTAAGGTACAGAGAGGCTCTCAATGAGTCCTGTTCTCAAGTAAGACACGTAAATTTTGTGAACCTCATTTTTTACCAGCAAATTGAGAGATTTGGGAAGGGTAGCGTATGGCTCTTCTCTCCTGGGATGTGAAGTCACTGCTGTCCTGCTCGTGATAGCCGCCCAGGCTGTGAGAAGAGAGTAGCAGGGCCCCGGGAAGTTCAGTGGTGAGTGTGCTGGACTTCTGGAAAGGAATCAGGAGTTAGGGTTCTTAGAGGACACCCTCATGGGATAGGGGAGAGAGGGAAGAGATTAAGACTTTTCATCTCCCTGGCAACTCAACTGTAGGAACAGCACACTTAACTGCCTGGATCCTATGCTAGTAAGAGTTGGTGTTCCTCAACTGTATCCTTACAACACTTCTCCAGCTCCTGCTTGTCTTTCTCCTGTTGAATTGAAAATTCAGGCTTGAAATATTTTAAGGTAATGTGAATTACAATCATTTAGGTAAACAGATCACATTCCGCTAATTACATGCACCAGAACACCAGTTATTTGCATTAGGGACATTGTAATTGTAATGAGGTTTTTTCAGTCCCTCCCCTCCTTTTTCAAAAGGTTTATTTATTTATGCATACAAGAGCTGGGGTACAGGCCAGAGGAGGGGGGGTGGAGGTGAGAGGATTCACCAGAGACAGAGTGGGGAACAGAACACGCAGATTGACCTAAGTGCATGCTGAGGGGAGCAGTGGGTGAGACAGGAGAGGTCTGCTGCAGAGGCTGCAGACAGCTTCATAGGTTGTGTCTTAACCCTTTGTGCCACCAGGGAGGCCCTGAGGTTTTTTCAGTTTTAACACATGATTTGTTCATGGAGGTTTAGTCTTCATAGTTCTGGAAAATAATTGGATCATTGTTCTCATTTATCATCCAGGCACCAATATTTCTAGATAAGAAAACCTAGATTACTGGTTCTCCAGTAGTAGTACATAGGAGAATTTTACACTCTTGGAGTGTTTGTTAAAATGCAGGTGCCTGGGCCTCACCAGCAGAAGGTCTAGGTTAGGAAGTCTGGGAAGAAGTACAGGATTTTGTCCTGTTAACCAGGATACCAGGCGAGTATGATGCTTGTGGTCAGAGGGGCATGGAAAGACACTGGCCTAACCCCACCCCTCTGCCAGCTGCCAAGGTACACCTTACAAATGCCCATCTCCCATTTTAGAGTGGTACTTCCTGCTTCCCATCCTCAAATTTAGAGCACATCTGGTAGCTCAAGTATCACCTCCTTTAAATCTAAGTTCCATTCTTTCCTATTATATCCTTTATTTTTCCATTTTACCTCCTCATTTTACGTCATTGAACTAAAATTGGTGCCCTGCAGGTTCTTCCTTTTTTACATTATTTGCATTTGTATATCCCAATTCTCTTTTGGAAAATGCTTTCCAGTTCTAAATTGAGATTCCAGAGTCTCTTTTCCCTGCGGGGCATTGTGGGGGCTTAGCCTCCAGATGGCTGTCCTCTGGGTTGCTCCTTTGCCTTGGATCAATTAATTCCATTTCTTCCAAGAATTCTTGGGTTTTTCCCATTGCTTTGATTTTCACTGTACCCACCTGTTTCTTGGGATCAAGGTTTCCTTCCTTCTCTGACTCCTAAGCCTTGGGATCAGTCATAAATACCCTCCTACTCTCCAACTCCTGAAGTTAGCCACAATCCTTTAATCCTTTTGAAGTTGGAAACAGCTGGAAATAGGCTGAGGGTAAAAGAACAAAGATCCATGGATGGTAAGTCTGAAGTCTTCAAGGCCCTCTGTTCCTTCAGCCTCCTCAGCATGCGTGCGACTGGACCTGAGGCCTGGATGCTAATCTGTATTCTCCATTTTCCTAGGAGGCCCATACAAACCCTTTCTGCTCAAATCCCAGGACTCATCCTTTTGGGCACTACTGGGTTCTCTAGCAGTGCTTCTTCCTAGATCAGTTTAATTACTTCATTTCGTGCTCCTCACATCCCAGCCCACCTCCCCAAGAGAGAAGGAAATTGGGACAATACTAATGTTGGATCTAGAGACTTCTAAAGATCTCTAGAAAGATTCCTTTGTATTTTAGAGAAAAACTGTTTCCGTGTCTATTTAAACAGCAATCAAAAAAAAGGCTATACTCTCTTCTTCCCAGGAGCCACGGCTGGTATTAAGTATGAAAAAGCATAGAACTTTCTGGACTGGCATCTATAAAGAACAAGAAGTGACAGGTGACAAAGCACACAGCATACTTTCTCTTCCTCCTTGCTTCAGGTAACAAAATCTCTCTCACAGCTGCTCCCTCTTAATTCATCTCTCTGTTGTGGCCTGGGGGGAGCTACTTCTGCCTAATTCAGGGGTTTACTGCAAGCCTGCATGCAAAAACCACAACAAATGCAGCCACTGCAGGAGTTAGGCAGCTTTGTGGAAGGATGATCCATGTGGCAAGCTGTGCAGTCTCTGGCTTCAGGGCCAGTGATTTTACCTTTCAGCTTCCTCATCTGTAAAAGCAGGGTAGTAAAAAACTGCCTTGCAAGGATTGCTGTATTAAGTGGGTTAATCCATAAAAAACATTTAGAACCTGCCCAGATTACGTCAGACACAGATATCTAAGCATGGGCCTTAGTAATATCATTTTGCTTTCTTTTACCTGACTCCTTTGCTTATTTCTCAGTTCCCTCAAAGATCCCCAACACTTTAATTATAACTTTCTTTCAGATAGTCAAAAGCAATGTTTTCTTTATAAATTGTTTTCAGTGTGTCTAGAAAAGTATGAAATTTCTGAACACCATTTTGATTATATTAGTGCAAATTAACTCATTTGCAATTGATCAACAGGAAATGAGAGTAGTGAGAAAGTACATTGGTTCATGATCTTTCTCTAGGCAAGGGGTACTGTTTTAACAGCAATAAACAGCAGAAAAAAGGAAAACAAAAACTCAGCTTGATTACAACACTAGTGCTAGGAACCAATAAAAAGTATTTTTAAGAAAATAAACATTGCCAGCCACTGGGGCACCCTCCCCAGAGAAGTAAAGCCAGCCAGTATGGCTCCACCTCAGGTCAGGTAGCAGTGCCTCCCTGGGGTGCACCTTTCACAGCACACAGCTCTCCCCGCCTGCACTGCCACAGCCCTGCCTCCTCAGCTCGTGGCCACACTTTTGTTCACTGTGCATTTTCTAGACTCCCCAAGAGCTGCCTAACTGGGCTCTTGAGGTTATGGCTCCAGGAACCAATTTTTGTTCTTATATTGCTCTGGTTACAATTGTATAGTTCCAGTGGCCTGCTCCAACCTTATTTCTTCATCAACTCAATTACTCTGTACATAGTTTTGCAGAACACAGGTTTTATAGGGAAACATCAACTAGAGAAGAAACACCTGATTTCAGAAACACTTCATTTCAATGTATCTATGTTATCTTGTAAATAAATTTCAAGTCCTTACTCTAATACTTGAAATGGCAAAAAAAAAAAAAAAAAAAAAAAAACTTAGATGGTCATTGGTCTGGAAATGAATGAGATGATGTTCTGCCCTTTCATGCTAGATAGCACTGATTCAGTGTTGACTGGTTCTAGGATGAACTGCAAGTACTGGCTACATGGCAGTTTCTCAGCACATATTCCCATTGAGCTACATCTTAGATTTTAAATTTTATGAAGCCATTTTATTTTTATGACCTATTTGTTCATGCTCATGCTTTCTCTTTTTCCTCCCATCTTTCCTCTGTTCCTTCCTTCTTTCCTCTCTCTGTCCTTCCTTCCTTTTTCTTGTAATTTTTGGGGAGAAGAACAGATTCTATTAAAGCCCATTTCTTAGTCATTATTCTCTTTTTGTGTTTTCAGTATGATCCATTATGCTAAGTGGACATTTTGTAGTTCTTGAACAAAAATGAAGAAATAAGATACATGATACTAATAATATGAACTCAGAGAGATCTTTTGATATTTCACATGTAAACCCTCCATTTAATTGTCCATTGGAGGGTGATCCATTCGCTATAAATGATGATGACCTCAAGTTGGAAAAACGTGGGTTCATATAGCATGTACCCCTTGCTAAACAATACATACAGATCAAATCTTTGTAATAGCATTTATTGAATGCTCATTATTTTCTTTATATGCATTATTTAATTTAAAAATCATAATGATATCTGAGAAATTAGTAGCCAACATTACTTTAATGCCTCTGTGCACCAAGTATTCAACTAAATGTTTTAGTGATTCAGGTATTAATTCATCTAATCCTCAAATCCATCCCCAGAAAAGAAATACTTTTATTATGCTTTTTTTTTTTTTCAGGAAAGGAAACTGAGGCATAGGGGGGCTAATGCACTGAAGGTCATATTGCTGGTGTGTGTGAAGCCAACATTCACAGCCAAGCATTCGAGCTCAAGAGTCTTCAGGATAAACAACTCCAGCTGTCACCACAGCCCTGTTGCCCCAGGGAGGAAAGAAATATTCCCATTATATGACTGAAGAAACTGAGACTTGGAAAGATTTAGTGTTTTAATAATACCTTAGTACAATATTTATGCTTCTTTATCATCTCAAGTTTTATTGGATTCTCCTGTCTCTTAAATATTTTTTAAGTGTTTAGGTAAAACAAAAAACAAACAAACAAAAAAAAAACCTCCATGCTTTTCATTTATTTTTGAATTTGCATGTTTATCATTTTTAAATTTTTAAAGCGCATGTAGAAATAAGAATGTCTGTTTTAAATAAGATGTCTTTAGAAAAAAAAGACATCAATTTAATTGAGTTCTCAAATTAGCAAATACTATTTTTCCCATTTAACAACTCTTCTGAATTAACTTGACAGAAAGCTGACCATTCCTGATAGCTGGAGATTCCTCCCAATTTTACTTTAAAATTTCATTTAAGCCTCAATAAAGAAAAATAAAACTACCTGGAAGATAAATAAAAGGATTAGATGTAGGAATTAATGCTAAGAAGCTCTTTTGCAGAAGACCAGCCTGATTCTCCACTACCTGTGTCATTCAACGGTTGCAGAAGGGAGCACATTTTTGGATTACAAGTCACACCCCACATCCTGCAACAGAACTGGACAGATGCTCCCAAAGGTGACTGGACCAGGATCTGACTCATCCATTCTGTTACTGTGATTTGATACTAATAAGAAAAACAGGCATAGTCCTCCACATTTAAAGTAGTAAAAGCCACACTTCTGCCTTCCTCTTACCAATGTCTCCTTCTTATTGTTAATCTCTTCAGCTATTCATCTATGGTCAGAGTGTTAGAAAGGTGGGGTGGAAAGCGGTGGGATGTGCTGGAGAAACAATTGCGCAATTCCCACTAGAAGAAGCCATTTTCAGATATAGGGACACCCTGTTCCCAAAAGAAAAAGAGATAGGGGTCAACTGATGAAGCCTGACTGGAGTCCAGGATTCATCCTAGATGATTCATCCTTCATTCATCTAGGATGAAACCTGGACTCTACAAACTGAGCTGGGTTCTACACATCAATCCTATTGTCCAAGCTAGATGGAAGAGGGGTACTTGCCAGTGTGTAGACCCCTATACCAAGCCAGTGCATTCATTGCCCAGGGATCATGAGCTGAACCCTTCTCCAGCATTCATAGGAGCTGCCACACCTAGAAAAGTAGGGAAATTATACCCTACCTCAGAGATGACATTCAGCTAATGACTGACACTGTTGAAGGTGGGACAATGCTGTTGGGCTGTTCACATTCCAGAGCTCTCTGTGGGTTCAGACTAATGAGAGACTATTCATGGAGCTGCTTCTTCAGCCCTATTCTGGGTCCCAGTCTCCCTTCTATGTATTACCTACCAGCACTCTCATTAAATCACTGCACAGCAACTGCCATCTTAGGCTCTGCTTATAGGGACACGAACTTCAGATAATCTACTGAACTCATAAATTAGCTATTCTACGTACACTGACTATCTTACAAAATGACATAAAAACCCTAAGGTTTAGACATGTATTTTTTCCCTTACTTTGTAGATTTCAAAATCCAATTCCAAAATATACAAAACTAGGATATTTTGTGGTTCTTGAAATGCTTTGCCAAATTATTTTTGTAGGGTTTGTCCCAATTGAACTACCTCCAGCAATGTTTCAAAGCAGAAGTAACAGCAAAGCAGCCAGCTCTAGAAACCAGCATTATTCCAAACTATTAAGGTTATCTTGTTGCTGCTTTTATTTGTGTATCTTGGATTGCAGATGAGGTTGAACATTTCCCCATCTTTGTTTATTAATCGTGGATCTTTCTTTGGTGAATTTCGAATCTTAGGAAAAAATTCCATCCCAGGTTTCCAAAAGTTTCGACACCATGAGATTAATCTCATCGTGTATGAGGACTTTTCAGTTCCATGTAAGACAATTCCAAGTTTAAAAACTGGGCAAAGTCATCAGGATTGTTTTTCCTGTTAGAAAGATTAAAGTAAAGCAGATGTGAAACTTGCCTCCAATCTCTTTTCTCATACTGTATTATTTGTCAGGGAATGTTAACTCTTGAACCTACAGGCAAAAAAATGCTGCAGAAACAGTTTAACAGTCATTAAAACTACATTTCATGTCACTTGATTAACAAAAACAACTGTTTTTGTTAACCAATGAAAAATTTTAATAATAGACTTTATTCCCTCAGCTTCTATGGCAAACTCTCCTTGTTATCCTTGTTCTACCTTCCTTTTCTTCCTCCTCAAGTGCCCTGAATGTAACTTAGGTATTCTTCCAGATCTTGGGCCTTTTATTATTCCCCCTTTGCCGTCTCCCTTGGTAATTTACTTGTAGTGTCAATTAAACTATCTGCAGGGGCTTTTCCAGATCTTTCCATTTCAGTCAGGAGTGTGACATTTCTCAGGGCTCCCCACAAATTTGGCAGTGCTCTCAGTGAGAGAGAACATTAGCAATGAGGACACTGATGACAAAGTGCTGTCCAACAGGAAACACCACAGAAATCAAATGGTTATTTCTCTGTCATCCCCTGCCCACCACCTGGCCACTTTTCTGATGTGTCACGACAGCTTGTTTACATGCTTGTTATGGGCAACAATGACAGAAATGGCAGACAAATTCAGTCCAAGATGTGTGTTCTGGCCTATGTTAAGAACTACTTACCAATATCTGATTTTCTAGTTTCCCTCAAAAAAAGATACGTTGATATTAGTTTCCAAATACCTACATGAGAAGAATATATAAATGCTTGGTAATAGCGCCCCTCTTTAAATGAAGCATGTATCTTCTAGTTCAATACAACCTCTACCACTCCCCATTGCCTTAATAATCCCCATCTATCTTATCTTGACACCCTTACCTACATCCAATCCTCTCTTCTCTCCCTTCCTTTTTATATATTCTTTCCCTGTCTCTCCCCTCATCTTGCTTCAAACTCACCCTCCATGTGGCATAGTCTATTCACTTTAGAATCCTTTTTGAAGTCCTCCTTCAGTATAGATTTTCTTGATTGTCCAAAATCATCAAAACCTATGACATATGTACCTGCATATAGTTATCTATAAATATGTGGTAACCAATGAATATTGAGAGACAAGCATGCAACAGACACTGTGCATGGGGCTGCACATAGAACATAGAATAAAATAAAATGTGTTCTTTGGCAGTGTGGAGTGCATAGTTTGTGGGAAATGCTAGGATGAAAGGTTGAGCAGGGTGTTTTGGAGAATAGAAGAAAGAACTCCATCTGACACAGGATTTTAGAGCAAGAATTACTTGATCTGAAACTGGAAGAAGAGGGAATTAGCTTTATTAATAAATTGAGAAGAAGTGAACTTCCGGGAAGAAAAGCATAATCAAAGAAGGCTCACAGGCCTGTGTGTACAGGGAACTGTAATCAGCTACAGAAAAAGTTGCATTTTCTGAAGTAGCAAAAAACAAAACAAAACACAAAAGACAAGGGAAGAATCATTCTGATTCCCTTGATTCAAATCCATGGTTTCCTTTAATGATAATATTAATGAAAACAGGGCCTCCCCAGTGGCGCTGCGGTTGAGCGCTGGGTTGCGAAGCTGTCCGCGGCCTCTGCGGCGCCGGTTCGATCCCCGGCTGCTCCCCGGCCACCAGAGGAGGGTCCCACATGGCGCGCAGACCTCTCCTGCCGCCCGCTGCTCCCCTCAGCAGTGTACTTCGGTCCTTCTGCCTGCTCTGCTCCCCGCTCTGGCTCTGGTGAATTCTCTCACCCTCCCGCGCTTCTGACTGTACCCGGTGCTTGTATAAATAAATAAATAAATAAATAAATAAATAAATAAATGAATGAATGAATAAATAAATAAATCTTTAAAAAAAAAATTAATGAAAACAACAACTAAAACCAAGCAATTGTATTTTTGAAGAGTTTAAAATTAAGATCTATATTATTCATCTTAGTATTGTGATTTTATGTGCATGCTATTGAACTTTGGAAGCAAGAACCCAATACAGGCCATTTTTTAACATCAAGTCTATCATGCTGCCTTATTTTCACATTAAGAAATGTAAAAATTGGGCCTCCCCGGTGGCGCCGCAGTTGAGTGCTGGGTTGCGAAGCTGCCCGAAGCCTCCGTGGCCCTGGCAACCAGAGGAGGGTCCCGCCTGGCGCGCAGACCTCTCCTGCTGCCCGCTGCTCCCCTCAGCAGTGTACTTTGGTCCTTCTGCCTGCTCTGCTCCCCGCTCTGGCTCTGGTGAATTCTTTCACCCTCCCGTGCTTCTGACTGTACCCAGTGCTTGTATAAATAAAAAAATAAATCTTTTTTTTTTTTAAAAAAAGAAAAGAAATGTAAAAATTAAAGAAAAAAGTGTCACAACCATAGTCAGTGAGAATTAGATGAGAGCATGTAAAGACCTGATCACGTCTGAATTAAATAAAAAACCTTGTTTTTAATCTAAAAATTTTCCAAATAGCTTTCTGGAACTACAACTCTTCAATTCAGAGTTAACTCCTCAAACCTCCAATGGGGGATGGTTTGGGAAGTACAAAATGTGAGTGAATAAAAATTTCCTGTCAAACTTCCAAATAGAATTTTCTGTAACTATATCAGAAAATTATTACCTGAATTTATTCTGCAAGCAAATCAAATGAAATTTTACGTTTTTTTCCCTGAAATCATTTTCATTAATGAAGTCAGAAAGAGAAGAGGCTATTTTTCAAAACAGCAATTTGCTTTCCTTATAGCAGGTTTTGGGTTGTAATTGCCTGAAGCATACTTAACAGACATTAATATTGGTGTTTACCTCTTAAAATTTCAGGTTCTACATATAAAATTCCAAATATATCTGTTCAGTTTGCCAAAGCCCAATGAAAGTTAATAATTTTAAAAGGTTAAAGTAATTGGTAGTTTCGTTGATGTTCTAAAAACAAGGTCACTGGGGCCTCCCCGGTGGCGCAGCGGTTGAGCGCTGGGTTGCGAAGCTGCCCGCGGCCTCTGCGGCGCCGGTTCGATCCCCGGCTGCTCCTCGGCCACCGGAGGAGGATCCCACATGGTGCGCAGACCTCTCCTGCCGCCCGCTGCTCCCCTCAGCAGTGTACTTCAGTCCTTCTGCCTGCTCTGCTCCCCACTCTGGCTCTGGTGAATTCTCTCACCCTCCCACGCTTCTGACTGTACCCAGTGCATGTATAAACAAAAACAAACAAACAAACAAATAAAATAAATAAATAAATAAAAAACATGCCTCTATAAAAAAAAAAATAAAAAAATAAATTAAAAAAAAAAAAAAAAAAAAAAATAAGGTCACTGCATTCTTCAGCCAAAAATCCTTTAATGAACTTCAGGACAGAACATAAGTACTTTGTCATCAACATTCAAATATTCACAAAGTTAGGCATATACTCCAGTGTTAGTCATCAGTTTGACTACTTGGATATTCTATATTTCTATCTAGTAACATGACATGGATTTTCATTTATTGAAGGAGTAGATAATGTAGGTAAGAAGATTTTATACAACCATGCATGTTGTAGAAAGTTTGAAACATTTTCTTAAATATGAAGCATATTTCTTCCCATTTGGGCTGGCCGTGTGACTTGTTTCAGCCACTGAGTGTGAGTGAACATAACAAAATGATGTCCCAACAGAAGTTTGGATGATTGTATGATCTCAGTTGGCCTCTTGAGCTTCTGTTCTCTGGCATTCACATGTCAAGGTACTGCTATTCCTTCAGGCTAGATCCTGAAAAGAGAATTCTTGTCAAATAGATCAGAAGCCAACCCATGGCTTGGTGCACAGTAGCAGCCAACTGTCAAAAACTGAAGGATCTCATATTTTATCTCACTTTGAAGCTAAAGTGTTAACTTGCCAGTTTTATGTGTGTAATCTCCTGGATCAGAGACAAAAGACAGTAGCCAGAGTGTCAGCACGTTTGTGTTGATTCCCTGAGTCTCCATTCCCATATTAGTGATGTGAATGGGCCCAGATGGATGCCTGAACACACAGTAGATTGCATTAGGAGAGAATCACTGAATCTGAAATCCCATCAATTTCTATCAAACAGTAAGCAAGTCTGCTCCTTGTCCCACAGGCAAAAATTATCTCCTCCCTCAAATACAATCCTGAAAAATGGCTGGTAAAAAGATGACTAGGATCTTAAAAGTTTAGCAAACTCAGAAAGACAGACAAGAAAATGAGAGATTCAAGGAGTGTCTACCAACACCAGCTCTCAGCGCTCATGGAACATCAATGAGATCTAAATGTTTGCTCTCTACGTCACTGCAATACTAGAGTGCTTTGTTACGTAACAAAATTAATTGATTCAATAAGTTCAAAGAAAGAGGATATATTTGTATATTTATCTTATAGTCTGCCATCTTATCTAATTCTCCTAAAAATAATTTTATACAGTTTCTTGGGTTTTTGCGGTATCATGACATCTTCTGCAAATAAAGTTAATCCCCAGAATTTATATAATTATTTGTTATATTACCTTTAGCATTAACCCATTCCCTAAAACAATTATGTATGTTAATGTATATTAATATTGTATAATATACATCAATTATGTATATTAATGTATATTAAAACAATTATGTATATTAATGCTTCTGATGCTAGAGCTGAAACACTGCAAATGAAGTTCTCTTTTTTAACTTTATTTTTACTGAGATATAATTGACATAACACATTATATTAGTTTCAAGTGTACAACTTGATTCAATATTTGCATATATTGCAAGATTATCTAACCCAAGACAACACAATAAAAACGGTAGTTAACAATCATCACCATAGTTACAAATTTCTTGTTTTTAGCGTGTTCAATCTCTTTATTCTTCCAGGTATAAAAATAAACCCAAATATATGTAGGTACAATAATAAACAATAACTTGACAATTACAGATTTTCTGGTTATTTCATTACTTGTATTACTCATACTTTCTCAATTATTAAGTTAATATGCTACTTAAATATTCATTAAATGTCTGCTTGTGTTAGATACTGCTCTGGATACTAAGGATAAATAACAAGAAAGATAAGTTCTTCTGTAACATCACTTATTAGAATTTCCTTTCTTTTTTTCTCTCAGTATGGCTTTAATAGTTTAGGTCAGTTTTTATTTCTTGCTTATGATAGTAATATTCTGAAAATCTATTGGCTTCACTTTCTTCAAAATACAAAATACAATATTAGAACCTATAGTCACCATGCTCTACACTATATCTCCCTAACTATATACTTCACAAGTGTAAGATTATACCTTTTGACCCCTTTTACACATTTTACCTCCCACCCTCAGCTCTGGCAACTACCAATCTGTTCTCTGGGTTATGAGTTTGGGTGTTTTTTTTTTTTAAGGTTCCACATGTGAGATCATATGAAATCTGTTTTTCTCTGCCTGACTTATTTCACTTAGCATAATATATTCAAGTTTGTCACAAATAGCAAGTTTCTTTCTTTTTTGTGGCTGAATAATATTTAATCACATATATAATTTTATACATATAATACATATATATAATTCATTTATCCATTTGTTTATCCTTTTATCCACTGATACACAATGAGGCTGTGTCCATGGGTTGGTTAATGTAAATAATGCTGCAATCAATGATCATGGGGGTGCATATATTTTTCTGAATTAGTGTTTTCATTTTCTTTGACCAAATACCCAAAAGGAGGATTGTTGGATCTTTTAGTTGGATCATCAACTTTTTGAAGTCTTTCCATACTGCTTTCTATAGTGGTTGCACTAATTAAAAAAATTCATTTTATTAAATTCTCTCTGCTAACATAATTGTTATGGTTTCCAACTGACTGACTCCTGATTGATAAAGTAGGTATTCCTATTTATTTTTTGATTTTAACAATGACAGCTTTAGCCATTTGCCTTCTAGTTTTATAATTTCTGATTTTTTCATCTTCAATTAATTGCTGCTGAAGTTTATCAAATATGTTCCTTGTATACATTGACAAATACCTTTTTCTTTCTTAATGGTTAATAAACTAGATATTTTTCATAAGTTGAATCATTTATATTTGTGGAATAAGTAACTACTAGTTAATACAGTTGAAACACTTAATACATACATTCTAAGAACTGTATATTTAATATAATATATATATAGTATATGTATATATACATGTATGTGTATATGAGAGGATAATTCACTTAATAAACCTATTTGGCCATGGCTTTTCATTACATTGCCAAATGTTTATTTAGAACTTATATTCATAACTGAAATTGAACAATGCTTAGAGTTTTATATGTTGTGTTACTTATATTACTTATTTTCTACTATATTATCACCTCTATTGAATTGAAAAAATCCTTGAAAATCAATGCCTTATTACTATTTTCCTCCTATACAGTCAATATCAAAGTATCTTAAAAGAACATGTTACTGTGTTGAATAAACACATTTAATACATCTTAGAGTATATTTTTTGAAAAGTATCACTTATTCTATAACACAGGTTTTAATTTCACAAATTTAAATATTTTAAAGAAATTAAGCTACATAACAATAAATTTAATATTGTCAACTTATTTTAACTAGAAATATGTGTTAATTTCATAACTGGCAAGTTTTATC